CACGATCGTCATCATTGGAAAATTCACCTCCATTATCTGCTAAAAAACTTTTGGGTATCCCAAATCCTCCTCCAATCTATTTTGTCATAATTTGTTCAATAATCACAGAGTTTTATTGTGTATGACACTAGCAAGAGAGAATGAGTTGCCATGTCAATCATGTGTAAAAAATATACCCCATCTTTCCATTTCTTGAGATCCATGGCAACAGCTTCATTAAATTCAGAGGCACTAAGCAAACACACAACAGGTCTTGGAGGTGATCTCTTATAAAGTTTGCAAATATTACATGTTTGTGACAGTTCATCAATACACTTTTGATAGTCTATGTCATACATTCCAGAATCTTTTAATAGTGATTTAAGCCGATCACTACTGGGATGGGCAAATTGTTTATGAAGCTTTTCTATAATCTTGTATTTAGAGGTTAAGTTGCCCTTTTCTTCACTATTAATGAAAATTTCCTTCACAGGAACATCACATTGTTGGAGCTCAATACAATAATGACCAGCATCAGTACACTGAAGATTAACAGCATTTCCAAATATTTCCGCCACATCATTCTCTAACTCAAGCTTTACAGCAGCCTCTTTCATAGATGTTTTACTTAACAACAAAGGTATTTCACTGTCTACAATATCAGTAGTAATAGGTACAATTCACACCGGCAATCTTGCATGGAAATGTAACTTTTTTAAGTGATTTCATTCGGCAGCCACTACCAAATTCAAATACAGTTTCACTATCAAGTTCAGTTACCTCTTGTAACTGACTAGAATTTAAACTATCAGTATAACATTTCATCCAGTTTGACCCAGCGACTGTTGATGTCTAACACAGTGCAATTGAAGGTCTGACAGGTAAGTACTTCCAATTCATGTCGAAGATTCCCTGTAAATAAAACAGCTTTTTCAGTCTTTGCCTTAAAATTTTCATATGCATCATGACAACCCTCACCATATGTCTAATTGATTCACAGCTCCTACATTTTAATGGATGACCATCTGCTGCAATCGGATTTAACTTTTTAACATATCCTTCTCTTCCCCTGTTAGGAACCTATCCTCGAACGTAGCTTTCTACTTCTAAAATTGTAACTTTGCCACCTATTACCAGTGTAAAAACTCTGTTCATCTCCTTCACTAACATATGTAGGTGCCTCAACCTTTACACTCTGTTTAGACTCTTATTGGCCCACATGGTGCAGAAAAGTAGGAAGTAGGGTTTCATTTCATTTCTGTTTAGACTCATCCTTACTGGATGAAAATGCTTGCTGTCCAAAGAATTTCTTTAAAGAAGAACTCATTTGAGTAAATAATGTCTCTATCTGGGAATAATCCACTCCTGTCAATACCTATTTACGATCTTTACCGTCTAAATTTGCATTGTCCAGTAATTTAAAGCTCAAAACTGACTTTGGTAATTCCATTTGAAACTTTTTTGTCTTATTATACCTCTTTTCGAACTCCAATACATAAGTTTCCATTTTAACTCCTGGTTCACATCTATACCGATCAAAATCTGTATAGGCCTCATATGCTTCTGAAAGTTGATTCTTCTTAAATATTTTATTCATGTATTTAATTAACTCTTCCATTCCCTGCTTCCGATTTCAAAGTATCCAAAAGAATATCGCTAAACACTTTGTCACGGATTCCGGTTGAATCTTTTTCATCCAGTGTCAAGGCCACAGCCAAGGCTTGTTTTGTTTTTATAATCACACATGAAATGGGGGGGCGTATAATGCTGTCACCTCATTCCGTCGGTCCGTCCGTCCACAATTGCTCGTAAACACTCTTCAAGGCACAATTCTTGACTGATTTCAAGGAAACTTGGTATGGTTGTTTGTAATCACCCAAGGATGAACCCTATTGAAAATCAGACGAATCGAAAAATATTTACTATGAGTTATTGCCCTTGTTCTTGAAACACTCTAGAAAGTGCAATTCATGACGGATTTTGATGAAACTTGGTATGAGTGTTAGTTATCGCCGAAGGATAAACCTTATCAAAAATCAGAAAAATTGAAAAATATTTAGTATGAGTTATTGCCTGTTCTTGAAAACGCGTTCAATTTTAGCTTGTAAACAACCTAGAAGGCATAATTCTTGATGGATTTTGACGAAACTTAGTGTGAGTGTTTGTAATCACCCAAGGATAAACCCTACCGAAAATCAGAAAAATTGAAAAATATTTAGTATTAGTTATTGCTCTTGTTCTTGAAAACGCGTTCAATTTTTAATTCGTAAACACTCTAGAAGGCACAATTCTTGACAGATTTTGACGAAACTTGGCATGAGTGTTGGTTATCACCCATGGATAAACCGTATTGAAAAACAGAAAAATTGAAAAATATTTAGTATGAGTTATTGCCCTTGTTCTTGAAAACGCGTTAAAATTTTAGCTTGTAAACGCTCTAGAAGGGACAATTCTTGACGGATTTTGACGAAACTTGGCATGAGTGTTTGTTATCACCCAAGGATAAACCCTATTGAAAATCAGAAAAATTGAAAAATATTTAGTATGAGTTATTGCCCTTGCGATTGAAAACGTTCAATTTTTAGCATGTAATCACTTTGATGAAACTTGTTGTGAATGTTCGTAATCACCTAAGGATGAACCCTATTGAAAATCAGAAGAATTGAAAAATATTTAGTATGAGTCATTGCCTTTGTTCTTGAAACCGCTTTCAAATTTAGCTCTTAAACACTAAAAGGCATGATTCTTTCTGGATTTTGACAAAACTTGGTTTTTTTATTCAGTCCTGAAGATTGAATATTTGCCTTCTAGACTTTTCACGAGCTAAAGATTGAACATTTTTTCAAGAACTAGGGCAATAATTCATACTCAATATTATTCAGTGTTGTGCTAAAGAGTTCAAAAGAAGTGTATGACTGAAGGTTGAATATTTCATACTGGTGATTGTTACTGTACTGCTACATATTTATGTTAAATCAAAGCTGCCAGTGGGCGTATATTAACTTGCATGGCAAGCTATCTTTTCTAAAACTGTTAAGCATTGCCATGCCTTTAGTTCGTCCACCCATCTAGTATATGGTTTACTTTCAGTAAACCTTGGTGGGGCTTTGTACGCAGACGCCATTCTCAATAAGATTGTCAACACAAATAAACGAATTACAGTCACAAATAAATTACACCGTGTTCTTCTCTTCTGATATTACGGGCCTCAATTTTCAAAATAGTTTCTCCCATGAATCATTGTTCCATTACGCTTGGAAACCACGCTTTCTGCTACCATATTAAGTTGACATAATAACACTAAATATTACTCTTTTATTCCACAGTATACATATAAGCTAAAACCCCACCAACGTCCATAACCTCTCTCTGGCCTTCTCGCATTCACTCATCCCCTCTCATACATAACTCTTACATACATCTTTCAGACTACAATTACATCACAAGCAGACGACATGAACTTAATACAGATAGATAAACACATAGTTCCATATGGAATATAATATTTTTAAAAAATTTCAGATTAATCGGACGAAAAATAAAAAAGTTTACAAATTAACCGCTTTTCTTTTTTGAGTTTTAACAGCATTTCATGTTGCATGAGTTTTACCACTTTTCAAACAATTTTCACATATTGGTGCCACAATTGAGCTGTTCTCTTATAGCTGAATTTTCTTCTCCAATACATATGTTTCCATCCCCACGGTAAATACAAACATCATCAAACTTGACTGTGGCAGCTTGATCTTGATGAAGTTTGAATTTGGTCATAAATGATGAATGGTTTTGGATGTATTGCTCTTGACTTAATAAAAACGCTTCACATTTGGCTTGTAGTTATGTTACAGGGTGCAGGTTTTATCTGATTTTGATGGAACTTGGTATGCACGTATATGTAGACAAGATCTCAGTCAAGTTCGAAATTGGTCACTATCGGATGAATGGATTTGGAGTTAATTCAATGCATCTAATTTGGCTTGTAGGCCTGATAGCATCGTATCATGAATACAGGTTTTGACATGGTTTTATCAACCTTTATTAAACTAAGCCCTCTACACTGCGCTTTGAGGGCGTGAAAATGAGATTGGTGGCATTGAAATCTGACCAATCAGATTGGTAGAACAGAAATGAGGTCATGTAAACAAAACACAATGCCGATGCCCGTTTGAACACATTTTTTCCAAGTAAATATTCCAAAGAAAAGTTTGATTTTCTTTCAGCTTTAATTCTTTAACGAAAATCTTGCTCAATTTTTAATGGATTTTAATGAAACTTGGTGTGAATTTGGGATTGATAAGACGGCGGTATGACAAATGGTTTATGGTTAAGACACCATGGCCTGTTACAGACTTCATTTTTTATCCAATATGGATGAAACTTGGTATGAGATCTCAATAAAGCTTGAAATTAGTAACAAATGGATGATTGGTTTCACATATTAAACCTCTAAAGACTTTATCATTTCTGACAGCTGGTAGTGGGCTTATGTTGCCTGGCAAGCTACCTTTCCTTAAACGGTTTTTGAGTTAATGTCCTTGAATTAGTAAAAAAATTTTGCGAATGCAATAAAAGCTACAATTTTAAATGGATTTTAATGAAACTTGGTGTGAGCTATTTGAAGATTTTTCAATGAACAATTTTTTTAGTTATTGTCCTTGATTTAGTAAGATCGCATCAAAATTTTGTTGTGGGCACAATAAAAGCTACAATTTTCAATGGATTTTGATGAAACTTGGTGTTAAGAGTGAAGAAGTTACTAAAAACTTCTTTGTAAAGCACTGGCCAAGGTCACAAATAAAGAGATAAATGTTCAATACAAGATAAGGTGCAGTTAGCATAGTTAGTATTAAGTTAAAAAAAACACCAACGAGTAATCTACAATAAACAAAAGTTTATAGGTTCTGAAAAGATAAACATCTATATATAAGGATTAGAATATATTATACTTAATGAGCTAGAAAATAGAGAGGGGGATCAAGTATTATTGGATTCAATGGGATCGAGTCTACCACAGACCAGAAAATTACCAAGGTTTTTATTGCGCTTTTAGGCAATTACTAATCGTTTGGTATATACATTCGGAAATCTGTTCTGTAATTCACTGTAATACTGTTTGACGATGGATGAGGTTTTGGCAGCTGTATGATTAAAGGTGGCAACAAATGGAATCATTTGATTATCATGCTGGATGTTAGGTCCATTTGGAGCCACTATTTGGAGTTGGTCCATCCAGTAGCTTTCTCTCTGTAATCGTTTGGTTTTTGGTTTGATAAGATCAGAGTCAGGAATTGATTCAATAGGCATGATAAGAAAGTCTTCAATGGAATGGTCAGGTAAATTAAAATGATGAGAAATTAGTTTATTTTTGCTATGAATGATATCAAAGGGATGGCCGCTAAATCGAGTTCGCAACGCGTTCTGGGTTTCGCCGACGTATTGTTTGTCACATTTTTTACACGAAATTAGGTAAATGATATTTTTATCCGTACACATGAGACGTTCTTTGATTTCAAATATTTTTCCGTTTTTTTTATTTTGAAAATAATGAGACATATGAATATGTTCAAAGGTGCGACACCGAGAACCTCTACATGGTATTGCGCCAAAGTTATTTATCGGAGGAGGGGGTTTGTTAATTTTCAAAAGGTCCAAAACAGTGTCATTTTTAATTTTGCGCAAGAATCGTTTGGAATAGCCCCTCTCTCTTAATTTACTGAAAACTAGTCTACAAGCTGCATCAAAATCTACTTTTTGAGTACAAATTCAAAATTGGTGTGAGCATTGGTATTGATAAGATGGCGGTCAAATTCGAATTCAATGACTTTTCAAAGAACATTTTTTTAGTTATTGCCCTTGTAAAACTGCACCACAATATGACTTCTAAACATGATAGACGCTACAGTTTTTATCGTATCTTTATAAAACTTAGTATGCAGGTATATATTAATTATAATATCACGTTTCCGTTTACACGGTATCATGCAATTTGATTGGATAACAGCGGTCACGTGCATTTGGTTTATATCTGTGTAAACGGAATTAAAATATAAGCTCCACCCCTTAATGGACTACTTTTATCATTGAGTTTCATTGACGTGGTCACTATACAGCATCGATGTCATTCCTTCAAACGTCAACAGAGCCGAAATCGACACATCAATGAATGATAAAGGTATTTTCTAAATCCCCTCAATTGTGCACACTCCAAATTCCAACAATATCATGAATTCTGGACTTATTTAGAACTTGTCTTTCAATAATTGAACTGCCAATTTGGCCGCTCCTTCAACTTTGGTGTAGTAGACTGTAAATAGGTGACCTACTTATTTTTGATTGGCTGTTCTCTAGGACGTCTTTATTCATTAACGTTATGTTAAAATGTATTTATGCACCAAATTAGTGCCTTAAGTTGTTGTTATATTACATAAATATTTAAACATGTATTCGAGTTGATTTAATTATAAGTGATGACACTGTATAAATCAATTAATTTAATGTAAGGACAGATTTAAATGAAACAATAATGTAACGAATGTACCATTTTGGGGGGTTAATTTGGGTCTTGAATATATGTACATGGTCTTCAGAAATGGTAGAAATGTACGAAAATCACATAATTCCTTCAAAAATATCTCGAACAAGGAATTTCTTTCCTATTTCTATAAATGTTTTTTCTATATATGGCATTGTCTCCAGAAGAGACAACTCCTATTTTTAACTTTCAAACGTGGATCATTCTGGACACACATGAATTGAAAGCTAAAATTTCAATGGTGAGCTGTGAACACTATTACTGATTTAATGAGCTAAAAAATTCCCTTTTCTGCGACTGTTGTGTTGTGGGTTTTCAGGTTTTAACATCAAAGATTAGAAGTGACTACTGTATATTATTTTGAAAAGACTAGACATCATATCAATCGTGAGGTCATACATACTTGACCTTTCTTACCATTTCTGACCTCTTTATTAAAGAGTTACTTATATACAGTTATGTCCCTTGGACCACCTAGATCAATATTCTACAATCCTCCTTGACTAAACTTAAACTTATATGTTTAAAATAAATCTTAAATTAAATAAAATATGTTATATTCATTTCTTGAATCTACTGACAAATAAAATATGTATAGATCAATTTAGTAATAAACAAAATTTGAATCTTTCTTTGGCTTTCTTACTCTTTCAGATCTTCTTGGAATATTAAAGTCAACATGCTTTTTTGGACTATCTGTTGGAGGTTCTGCCAAATGCATAGGATTTTCAAAATTAACATTTTGCATATCACTTGTATCATCTATTAATATATCATTACTATCCAAAGGTACATGTCTCAAAAATTTAACATTTCTTATCAATTTGACATGAGTTTCAGTATTGACAATTTCACAAGTTTCATTAGCTATAAATTTCAATATGACATATTTCACACTTTTATAGTTTGATTGTAATTTACTAGTATTTAAATTTGCAATATACACAATATCACCAATTTCAAAACTATGAGACTTTGCATGTCTCCTTTGATCTGTGTAATCTTTCATTTTGTTTTGATATCTTTTATGATAAGTATTAATTTTATCATGATCTACTGTATCATTGTTCTTAAATAAAGGAATTTTAGTTTTAATGTCTCTAGAAAATAACAATTTAGCAGGAGTTTCATTTGTACAACTAGCAGGAAATGATCTATAACCTAACAAAATCTTATGCAATTCATCTTTCCAGTCCTTTCCTTCAGACTCAGCCGCTCTTAATCCTTTCTTTAAATAACGATGAAATCGTTCAATTTTTCCATTTGATTCTGGAAAATTGTCCAATGTTTCTGGTAATGCAAGTCTTGATAAACTATCAGCAGTATTTTTGGTTCCACTAATATACTGAATTGTATATTCATAAGGTAATAATCTCCAACTAAGTCTTTGAATTCTAGGAGGTAATAGTATTGATGACGTGGATTTAAACATATTTATTAATGGTTTATGATCGGTTATTAAACTAAAAACTCGTCCCCACAGATATGTATTAAAATGGTCCACAGCCCATACACATCCAAGTGGTTCTCGTTCAATTTGTGAATATCTTCTTTCCACTTCAGATAGCGATCTGCTTGCGTAAGCTACAGGTCTAATAGAACCATCTAATTGTTTTTGTTGTAAGATCCCACCAATTCTAAATGGACTTGCATCTGTTATCAAACTTTTTCTTTAAGGTTTTTCATTTCTGATATTTTTCTTCTTGGTGTGATTTTCTTAGAACCATTTTCTTCTTCTTTTGATACTGTCCCCTTTTCAATGACAGAGTAAGCTTTCTTTAGAATCCCTAATTGAAAACTACAGTTGCAACTTAGCAAAGATTCAGCTTCTCCTTCTATGACAAATATCTTCTCTCTGACAAAGTTTTTCTTCCATCTTATTTCAGCTTGAAAATATCCAAGGCACTTTAATGGCTCTGACTGACCATAGGCTATAAACTTATTTCTTGATTCTTTTAATTCGGTATTTCTAAAATGTTTAAGGTAAGTTTTTGAACTAATTATGTTTTGCTGGTCTCCTGTATCAACTACCATTCTCATTTCTTTTTTTCCATTTATAACCATTTCTGTTTTCATATCAGAATTAATATAGTATACAAAATCCTCCTCAGGACTGTATTCTTCATCATTTAAGGCTCTAATTTTCTTATTTCTACACATCCTAGCCAAATGACCTATCTTCTTACAGTTCAACCATCTGACAGTCTTTGCACCACAAGAATCTGCAAAATGATCAGTACATCCACACCTGTAACATGATTTCTTGTCCGATTTCTTTTCTGTGTCTGCTTTACTTTTCCTGCCTTTTGATTGATGTATGTTTCTTTCTTTGGAGTCTTCCATAATATTTTTGTTTCTTTTCTTCATTGTGTCAGTAGGCCTATTTCTAATATAATTGGTTGCACCATTTTCAGTTCCAGCCATTGACTGTGCTTGAGTTTTGGCTCTTTCTAAGGTTCTAGCAATAGACAAAGTTTTCATTAGAGTTAACTTCTCTTGCTGTAGTAGTTTTTCTCTAAGGGTATTAGAATGACACTTCTCAACTATCTGGTCTCTAATCATTTCTTCTTCTAAAGGACCAAATTCACATGTCTTTACCAATTCTCTAAGATCTATCAGGTATTCATCAATAGTTTCATGTGGTTGTTGAACTCTTTTGCGAAAATTGTATCTTTCTGCTACAGCATTTCGAGCAGGCTTAAAATGATCAGTGAGAAGTTGTACCACTTCTTGATACTTTTGCTTTGGACCAGTCAATGTTGAAAAAATTCTCTGGCAAGGTTGTCCTAGACTATGAAGTAATGTAGTTCTTCTGACTGCATCATCCTTCTTATTCAAACCACTGGCTATTTGAAAATATTCAAATGATTCCATCCATATTGTGAATTCTTGATAAAGATCTGTAGAATTAACATTAAATTCTTTAGGTGATCTTATATGAATAGAATGTCTTTCATCAGAAGAATCACTTTCAATATCGTTTTCTTCTGTTGTGTTGTCATGTGGCATTTTCAATATTTGATTTTCTCTTCCTCTAAATTCCACTGAATAATACCATCAACTTTATTTTCTTATTCTTTCTTTGTGTTCCCAGACATCCTCGTTGCCATTTGTTGTGTCGTGGGTTTTCAGGTTTTAACATCAAAGATTAGAAGTGACTACTGTTTATTATTTTAAAAAGACTAGACATCATATCAATCTTGCGGTCATACATACTTGACCTTTTTACCATTTATATACAGTTATGTCCCTTGGACCACCTAGATCAATATTCTACAGTGACAATTGGAAAATAAAATGGCGCAACTGTTCCTTTAAGTTTATTACTCTTGGAATAAACAAGTTATAGCAATGACCCTGACAGATTTTACTATTATGATCCATGCTGCATCATATTTTATCTAAAAATTTAACAAAGCTGTAAGCCTACGTTCTGTTTTGTTTATCAATTGTATTGAACTTAGAAATGGGTAGTGTTCAAATTTTTAATTGCAGGTTGGAAGATTTATATGAAAAAATTGTTGTAGAAACGAGAGGTGATCGTGTAACTCCGTTGTCAACCAATCCTGGTCGCATAATGTTAACCTCATCTCGTCTTTATTTTCAACCATTTAACAATATTGATAAGGTTGGTACAATTTCTAACTCAGACTATTGCAAAATAATTTATTCTCCTTTTTACATGAGGTGCTTTGTTTTTGCCTTAACATAAATAACTAGAAAGTATGTATGTCTTTGAAAAAGTTGTGGTCATAATTTGTAGAGGGGCAAAAGAAATACATGAAGCATGAGAAGCGTAATATACAAAAAGTCATCTAAATACCCAACAAATTTAAGCATATTCTTAACAATTTAATTGTATGGCGTTTGTTACCGAACGCCCTGCTTTGTTAATCATGCCTTGGATCTGCATATTCGGTGTTTTAACTAATGAATATAAATTGGAACAATTTTGCAAAACGGATAGTGGCATGTTGCAAAATGTGCAAAAAGTAGACAATTGACTCTAGAAGGCGCAATTTTTGGGCGATTTTGCTTGGGTTTTCAGTTTTAGAATTTCGCATGACTATCCTATGTGCTAGCAGTTAAAACAATTCGAATTTTGACAATTCATAGCACACATTTTTTAGTCAAATA